TAATGAAGCCAAAACAAAATCTGTCGTTTTTTGTACCCAAGAATGTTCTACTACATTACCAGATAACATTGTTCTGGGCCCATATAAGATTACCATTACGTCCTCTATGAAAACACTCGAAGTTATATTCAGCGAGCATATGTCCTGGAGTGCTCATGTTGACAATGTGTGTGCGAAAGTGCGAAAAGTTATTGGTATTTTAAATCGCTATCGAAATACATTGCCCTATAAAATTAAGCGCCTCATTTATCAAGCTCTCTTTTACTCACACCTCACTTATTGCTCACTCATATGGGGAAACACCACCACACAAAATATTCAGATGCTGGAAAAACTTCGAAAGAAGGCAGTTCGAGCTATTGCGAATGTTTCTTTCTCCGAACATACGGAAGAGCTTTTTCGGCAGATTAAAATAATAAAAGCTGGTGGTATTTGGAAACTGAAAACTCTACAATGCTACAAGAGTGCTATGCTAGGAAAGCTAGATTCATTTTTAACCCTCGCTGATCTACAAGAAAACAAAAGTACATATTCATTTCGCCGTCAGGCCCCTTGGCAAATTCCTTTTTCTTGTACAAATTATGGACAACAGCGCCTTTGTCATACACTGCCTTCCCTACTTAACCATTTCAACAGACAAAGTGTTGATGTGTTACCGCTAAACAAAACTAAAATGTTGGACCTGTTACGGCTCATTAACATAGGATTAAAAAAAATCCCACCGGTTGTTGATAGCATGCTGCTGTTATAGTAATTTGCTATGTTATAAAAAAAGTGTTTCTTGGTTGTACTTTGTAGTGGCTGTATAGTTGTTTTTAATTTATACATTTCTCTTCCTTCATCGCAATGTATATTTTATATTCAGTTGAAATGTTATTATTGCTTTAATGCTGTATACTTTGTAACATCCTTTCTTCTATGGTTTTGAAACAAACTTCACCACTGTCGGCCTGGGGGACCGGAGCTTTGTCAAGCCGAAGAACTATCGGCTTTTTCTCCAGTTCTCACTTTTTCACCTTTGTATGAATTGGTGAAAATAAAATATTTTTTATTTGATTTGATTTGACTACGTGATGGGTGTACAAGTGTCTTCCTGGCGAATTTCCGAAATGAGGTGCAAGATCTTGCGAAGGGAACTGTTGTTGGTCACTTGCACGATTACATTTCGTATATGGATTGGAATTCGGCCGAGACTGCAGCACTACTCCCTGACGACATAGATTCCATACTCGCAGCTATCCACAACGAAGCAGCCCTATCACCGAACCAGAAACGAAAAATCGAGAGCCTTATACGGGAGTACGCCTCGTGTTTTTCCACGTCATCGAAAGTGCAAAGAACACCCATCACCAAACACCGCATCACAATCGATCAATCTGTTAGACCTATTTGCCAGAACCGTACCGAGCGTCACCAAAAGAGAGAGAAGTCATCAGAGGCCAAGTTGAAGAAATGCTTAGAGACGACGTAATTCAACCACCGGCCAGCCCATGGTCCTCGCCTGTAGTGCTGGTAAAGAAAAAGTACCAGACCTTGCGCTTCTGCGTTGACTACCGTAAATTGAACGTCGTCAGAAAGCGGGATGTCTATCCCCTTCCAAGGATCGATGACACCCTTGACAGACTACGAGACACGAAATTCTTTCCCTCTCTAGACTTCAGGAGCGGATACTGGCAAATGGAGGTGGACGAACGAGATCGCGAGAAAACTGCTTTCGTCACCCCAGATGGGTTATACGAGTTCAACGTACTCCCATTTGGCCAGTGTTTCGCACCCGCCACATTTAAGCGGATGATGGACACTGTGCTGTCCGGGTTAAAATGGCAGTCCTGCATTGTTTATCTCGATGAAGTTGTGATTTTTTCGGCCACCTTCGAACAGCATCTGGAACGACTACGGACTGTGCTCGAAGCGATTAGTTCAGAAGGACTGACGATAAAACCCCAAAAGTGCCATTTTAGTTTTCATGAACTGCTTTTCCTCGGTCATGTGGTTAGCTCTGAAGGCATTTGACCTGACCCCGAAAAGACAGCAGCTGTAGAAAAGTTTCCTAGACCGACGGATAAAAGGGTTGTGAGACAATTCTTAGGACTTTGTGGCTTTTACAGAAGATTCATCAAAGTTTTTTTGAAGATTCCGGAACCACTAACCCGACTGACGATAGAAGACACACCTTTCACCTGGACAAGCGAGCACTAAGACGCGTTCAATGAGCTATGACCGCGACTCTTAAAGCACCCCGTTCTTGCGCATTTCCATGAAGAAGCTAAAACAGAGATTCACAGGGACGCAAGCAATTCGGGACTAGGTGCCGTCCTCGTGCAGCTGCAAAACGGAGAGGAACGAGTGGTCGCATATGCTAGTCACACTCTTTCGAGAGCTGAAATAAATTATTTAGCGACGAAAAAAGATTGTCTGGCGGTAATATAGGTCATACAGAAATTCCGACCATACTTATATGGTAGACCATTTTGAGCAATGAGCGACCATCACTCGATGTGCTGGCTCGCAGGCCTAAAGGAACCTTCTGGGCGACTTGCTAGATGGAGCCTCAGGTTGCAAGAATACAACATAACAGTCGTATACAAGTCGGGTCACAAGCACAGCGATGCTGATTGCCTGTCACGCGCACCAGTGGAATCTGCACCTGCGGAAGATGGAGACGACTTTCCGCTTCTTGAAGCCGTCAGCACCGCAGACATGACTGAATATCAACGATCTGGCGTGGAGTTGCTTCAACTGATCAAGCATCTGAAAGGGCAACCCGTGCGTATTCCTCGAGTTTTCGTCCGGGGAGTGTCCTCGTACCTGATGAGAAACAACGTTTTATACAAGAGAAACTTTGAGCACAGCAGGGGGAAATTCCTACTCGTCGTTCCTTCGGCCTTGAGACCCGAAATCCTCGACGCCTGCTACAATGACCCAGCAGCAGGACACCTCGGAGTGAGTAGAACATTGGCTCGCATCCGCACCAAGTACTACTGGCAAAAATTACTGGATGCTGTACAGCATTCATGCGCATGCGCTTATCGACTTGCGCGACAAAATTAAGGTGTAAGGAAGCTATAGGAGCTGAAAGTGTTCGAGGCGACGCGCTTCGTAGACGAAGGCAATATCACAGCGCACAGTCTCTTCGGACTGCTAAATAAATAACCTGACAACTTCATCTACACAACTCCCTATTGACAAGCCTTTTAGCTTTTGTGCATGAAGCTTCTTATATAAACATAGACCACAAGCACAGAGCGCAAATGAGGAGCTTTCCCCTAGGGTGCGTTTCCATTAATTATACTGGCTTTCGGAAAAGTTAGTTTTGAGGTACAAAAAATGTTCTTTAAGAAAAACACCAAGTTGAAAAATATGCGGAAAAGTACATTGTTCCGAAATTGCAAAGAAAAACTTATGGTTTTTTTAGAATTTCGCCCTACGCTGTGCCCTTAAGCGCGCTTCTTCTGTCATAGTGTTCGTGGTGCTGAGGTGTTCACGTCCTCTGCGTCACGTGTTCATGGCGTAGTGATGTCATCTGGTTCCTTTATGTGTACTTGTGAACGATGAGGCATATGCAAAGTGTTGGTGAATGAAAGCAAAGACAAATTATGGGCTTTAAAGGGATATTGACAGAAGTTTTTGCCTAAATTCGGTAAAGGTGTGAAGGCTTTTGTACATACACTTAATATTGTACGGAAGCGATAGAGTCCTTGTTAAGTTAAACGCTCAGATGCCTGTAAATACCAGAACAGTCTGCCACCTCGTAAGTTGAATAAAAAAGTTTGTAACGTCACTTTATCCTCCAAAAAGAAGAACTTTACCTTTATTAGCATTTAGGCTACGAAGCCGAGTGTTAAAATATTGTATACCATTCTTGACTTCTTTATCCATCTGTTGAAAATAGTGTTAATTGATTGATATGTGGGGTTTAACGTCCCAATACCACCATTGGAAATAGTGTTAGCATTGTTTTGAAAGAATACGTGGTAGTCGGAACAGTTTGGAGCCAAATAAGTATAGCAGGCAGTCATCAACGAAGATTTTATTGTTTTTCAGTACGTTACTTAGAAGGTCCGTTCTATAGATAGGGAAAAGTAGCGGCTCTATATGGCTGCCCTGTGAAACGTCGCAAGAGGGAAAGGAAGAGAGGGACCAAGAAATATATACCATGATAAGCTGCTTGTGAAGTAGAAGAAAATTACGTAGCCATCGTGATAACATGACTGTAACAGCAGTAGCTGTTGGAAATGATGAGAGGGCGATGAAATGTATGGTTCGTGGGGTGGTTCATTAACAAGCTTTACCACATGTTGTAGACTGTTCCAGCTCATACTTTTATTAGTATTTAGCATAAAAGCTGCAGCTGCGTAAATGATGCGGTCTATAAATCTGAAATCGTGTAAGTAAAATATTTAGCTTGCTGAATTAGTAAGTACCGATGAAGAAAGTCGCTAGAGAAGGTTTGAGACGCTGTTAAATATTTTAGAGTATTCAAACTACCGCGAAGTATTAGGCCATATTTCGTTTCTCTCTTATTTGACCCTGGTGGTGAAAACATGACGAAAATATTTATATAGTGCTAATATTTAACAAATATGTATTTCTGAACAGAAGTGTAGCTGTATTCATTAGGGGAAGATGGAATTTAAATATTATCAACTTGTGCAGGCCTCATGTTTTAAGAGCAGTAATACTCTTAACAATAAAGCGACAGGAGCTACTCTGGATTAGAAGAGCGCTCATTGCTGTGATGCTTTGCAATAGCTTGATGCTTTGCAATAGCTTTGCAATAGTGGGCTCGAAAGTTCCGCATAAAGCTGAAGACGAACACTCCATGTTCGGCTCGGCTAGGCGGCTTGCACAATAGAAACATTTCACAGACAAAAGAACGACGAGTGCGAACAAAGTATCAGGCATACAAGACAGCCTTAAAGAGCTGAACAAGACTGCGCAGTGCATAAAAATTTGGATTTCACCTTACCGGGGACGCGTGTCCGTCACGGGTGTCTCACCTGTCCAGCGCGGCGGCGACCCCTGGCGCGGTGTGGTCATAGGAGATTCGCCGTGCCCCGATCGCTTCTTGCTTAGCCAGCACCCCCGGCGAAAGTGGTGCCCGGGGCTACCGTGACGGGCTGACAGCGCCCAATTAGCGGCCACAAGAGCGCTGACCCTAATGAACGACGTAAGCCCCGTCACTCTCTCGGAGGACCCCTCGCACATTACGCCACACGAGCAGTGGGCAGCCAGCCGTAAAGGGATTCCTTGCCGCCTCTGGGCGGCCACGATGTACGTGCGCATGTTTGTGCCGCGCCAGCCCATTTGAGAGAACACGTGAGGTTTCGTCAGCTAGCATTGAGATGGCTAGCCCTCTGGAAGTGATGTAACGGTGGCATCCGCATGGCACGCCGGCTCCTTACTGTGCGGTCTTAGGAAGCTCAGCACGGTTAAATCTTAGATTATGTTACGTTGTGTGGAATATCACTTTCTCTAGTGATTCAGGCGAGAAAATTTAAATAATAACGCCGTTAATACACTTTGTGGCTGACCATATTCGTCGAAAAAGTTGGTTACGGTCTACATGATTCCGAGTAGCAGCGCTTTGTACTTCACTTGATTGATATGCGGGGTTTGACGTCGCAAAACCACCATATGATTATGAGAGACGCCGTAATGGAGGGCTCCGGAAATTTCGACCACTTGGAGTTCTTTAAAGTGCACCCAAATCGGAGCACAAGGGCCTACAACATTACCGCCTCCATAGGAAATGCAGCCGCCGCAGCCGGTATTAGATCCCGCGACCTGCGGGTCAGCAGCGGAGTACCTTAGCCACTAGAACACCGCGGCGAGGCACTTAGTATTTCACTTAACAAGGGGTTCAGTTTACAAAGTTGAAGAAAGACCAGATTGTGTGTATCACAACAGTTGGCGTCTTTTCTTCAATATCAATTGGTGCGTGTAACAAATGCGAAGCCTATTTTAGCAAACTAAGGGCACTGCGGGCATTTTTATCTATCTATCTATCTATCTATCTATCTATCTATCTATCTATCTATCTATCTATCTATCTATCTATCTATCTATCTATCTATCTATCTATCTATCTATCTATCTATCTATTCATTCATCCGTCCAACCGTGTTTCTGTCTGTCTGTCTGTTCTTCCGTCCGTCCGCGTGCCTGTTCATCCGTTCGTCTGCTCTCTGTCATCGAACATCAGCAATGATTGGCATGTTAAAGTAGGGAACGCCAGTCCATCACTATGCGCTTTGTACCTCCCAATGTTTCTTTCCTACGCAATGCCACAATAAGTGCCGGCGTCAGCGTCGCCGCTGGTGTATGCGTTAGCGTCCGCTGCTTCGCATCTACATATTACATTCCTTAGCGGGTGCTGGTATTATTTTTACTGCGATAGCAATCATGTGGACACTCTCCACTGAATTTCACTGCCAGCGTCACCATCACTCACCGTATATGTATACGTATCTCTATACATAAAACTGCAAGAACAAATAAAATCTTGAAAAAGACTGCAGTGAGTGGAATCGAACGTGCGAACCCAGATTTGTGAATGTGAGGCGTTAAACTCTGAGCCACCGAGCAGCAAGCACGTCCTTCAACGTTCAAACGGTAAGCTTTTTATATCCACCACTTACCACTGGTGATGAAGTTTTTAGGGGTGGGGGGGGCTATCATGTTTTCAGCGTTACCAGCAAGTTGGCGCAATGAGCTTGCGGCGGCTAAAACTCCTTGATCTTGGGGAAGTAACGACACTTTCCTCCACGGGCGTGTTTCCTCCTCGATTATCCTCGCCCGCTTGCTGTACGCGCGGCGCGCGGCGCCATTTTTTGCCGGCGCTTTCGCGGGCGCGCCCACAATTCAATGGAGGCAGGTTATTTGCAGTATTGTGCGCGCCACAGTAGTGCTGAATTTTTTTCTAAAATGTGATAATGAAGCTGAGAACACTGAGGTAACTGCTTATTAAGAGTAGCTTCTTCGAAAGGTCGTATAAGTGGGGCATGCTAATCAAATGAAAAATTTTATGGAGAGTTCTACAATGTGGATGGTTTTCTGCCATATAATGACATGTTGTACACTTGCATCTAATATAATTCGACTTGTGACATGCCCGTCTGTGTGCCGTTTTTTTTTTCGTGCTTGTGTGCCAGTATACGACACAGGCACTTTCATCGTCACATATTGCAATGACTGGATGATTGATACGCGGGGATTAACGTTCTAAAACCACCATATGATTATGCGAGACACCGTAGTGGAGGGCTCCGGAAATTTCGACCACCTGGAATTATTTAAGTGCACCCTAATCCGAGCACACGGGCCTACATCATTTCTGCCTCCATGCGAAATGCAGCCACTGCATCCGGGATTCGATCTCGCGACCTGCAGATCAGCAACCGAGTACCTTAGCCATTACATCACCGCGGCGGGACATATTGCAATGACTTCGTGGATGGTGGATCGTTAAGCCATGTGTTAATTCCCTCGGCGTGAAAGTAGCTTTGCGCATTGGTCTCTACTCTGAAGAACGCCATTGTACTATGTGAGTACGATTAATTCTCAGAAACAGTGACTCATCAACCACAATTACAGAAGCACCAGATGGTGAATAATCAGAACTGTGTTTTGACGTTGTTGTTAGAGAAACTACCTATTGGCTTACCTGTGAGAGGAGAAACCCTGCACCAGGAAGGTCATCATAAACTGCACGTCGATAGCGACCAAAAAATCCTGTCCGGACTGACTGATCCCGGTCAGAAGAACACATGCAACATTGGTATAAAAGATGATATATTTTGCTTTGGTGAATGGAAAAAATGCAGGCGTAGCCAAAACGATCGCAGCCATGGTTTCCTTGAAAATGGCCCACTTTCGCTATCACTGCGCCATAGCTGTATTTTTTTCGTTGCACCTGTGTTTTTTTCTTATTTCGATGAACCACATCTCTTTCATGATTTTTGTATGTTACCACCCTCCCCCTAAAAAATAAATGCCTTTAAAGAAACGAGCGCCTATTAGTTTTCTCCAACAAACGTTCTCGTAAACGAATCCTAACAGACACAAAAAGCGCGATGGAAAAGCTGTGTCTTCTCACGTAATTATTCGCGGTGAAAGCACAAGAGTTGTGCATTTTAGACGATTGCCGAGGTGCGTGCGAGAAGATGAAGTATTATCTGAACGTTTAGTAAGGTATTTATTACGCTGAGGCGTACTGGTAGACTTCAAGGGGTAATGCACCAGAGGCCTATCTCACTAGACGAACGTCCTCTTCTCTAATCTGCCTGTCCCCCGCTACCCACAGGCTCATACCCAAATCACATATGCAGTAACAATATAGTGTAAATAAGATTCACAATTGACACACACAGAGATTTTTAAGGGTATAGCGCACCACGACAAGAACACAACAAGAGAGACGCACGCACACACAGCACTAACTTGCAACTATTGTTTGATTTGCGATCACACATACTATATATACAGTAACAGCGAACTGATAAAACCTGGAACATATAATGTTAAGATACAGAACTCCTTATCCACGCGTCATCATCGATCGCGACATTCTCAGCTTGCCAACGTCAAAGTGAAGATTCCAGATACTTTTTTTCTTTAGCTGACAAAGCTATTGAAGCCGCACTCACTCAGTTATCTTTCTTTTTTTTAATTTCAAAGGCTTCAATGATTTCACGTGCAGTTCTGTCACGGGCCAAAAAGAGAATGCGGGTGTTTTGAAACACAGAAACACAACCACACCTCTGACACTGAAGGGCCAAGTGACAAGATATAGCTTTTTCTATGTTGTATTTTTGTTTCCTAAGTCTTTCGTTCATACACCTTCCAGATTGGCCAATGTACGCACAATCACAAGTCAAAGGAGTGCCATAGACAACACCACGATAACAATTCACAAATTTTTCCCGCTGCTTGATCTTACACTCCCGTTTGCCGCAGAAGTCTGCGTTAACCTTTTTGCACATTCCTTGCAACCGTTCGGGAGCAGAAAAAACTACATCCGCAGCGGCATTTCTCGCTATCCTTCGCAAGTCATGCGAAATGGCATGCATGTAGGGCACTACAGCAACCTTGGCTGCCTTTGTGACTGCTGCCTGGTCTCTGAGGTTTGCCTTTCCTCTCCTGCTCATATTTTCCGCGACGGTAGTTAACAGGCGCATGGGATAACCAGAATCCAATAAACGTTTAGGTTGAGCCCACAAGCTTGCATCAAGCTTGTGGTGTCACGACTTCACGAATTTGGAAAACGGGAATTTATCACCGCACGCTTTATTATTTTGAGTGAGCGTACGTGAACGGAAGAACCGGTTTATTTCCTTGCTGTTCATAGCGGCACCATACTCCTGCTGGCGAAAAATACAGCCCGAGGTCAAGGAATCATATGAAATTGTGAATTGGTACTTCATGCGTCAGCACCAGGGGAGATAATACTGTCGAGAACATGGGTAGAGTGTCTGTCACAACCGCGTCAAAATTGTTATGATCATCATTGGCAAAGATCGGATAGTCACCTACAAATCTAAAAACAGCAATCACATTGGTGTGCTTCACACGCTGGTCAAGGACCTTATTACGATTTGCTAAAAACAGGTCGCTCAAGTACGGGGCTATGCAGGAACCTATACATATCCCGTTATTTTGTTTCAGTGTTCTCCCATCCCACATAGCATAGGTTGAGTTAAGATAAAAGTAAAGGAGCTCTCTAAACTGTTCACTCGACAGACCGGCAGTATGTTGAAATCGAACCACTCCTACTCTGTCAGTACCTTCCGATACACACTTCATTAACTCGGCCTGAGGGAGGGTGTAATAAAGAACTTTTACATCGATTGAAAATGCTAGAAGATTCTTGTTTTCTTTGTCTGCTAAATAATCTAGCACTTGTTCCGACATTTTCACCAAAAATTGGTCGTCAAGAGGTATCAACTTCAAATTTGTTTCTAGAAAGACCGCAATGCACTTTTGCGAGGATTCATTCTCCGAGATTATCACTCTGAAAGGGCAGTCAACTTTATGCGTTTTCGCCATGAAAAATTAGTCAAGATCCACTTTTTTTTGTCTTCTCGATCGACTTAACCGGGCCTTCAAGATTAAAGCTTTTGCATAGCTTTTTCGCAGCAGTTCGCACTTATTCTAGAGATATATTATTATGAGTATTAAATACAGAATCAATGGCCTCTGACGCCTTCGCCCGATACAAAGATTTATGCATAACCGCAAAACCACCGTCTTTATCTGCTGGTAGCAGTGCGAGTAAGTTTCCTTTC